TTTAGACAGTGATTATTGAAGACTGAAAATGGTCCAAAGTGCAGTGTGTATTAGACAAAAGAGGTCCCGCTAAGTATTATAGTCATAATTTCGATGATTTGAATTTTAAATCACATGATAAGCTAAGATTCAATTGATGGATTGATTACCTGTGATCTTTAAAATCTGGATTATCTCTTCCAAGTATAATAAGTAAAAGAAATTTTCCTGTTAGTAACGGTATTCACGTATCTTTGATAGTTTTAACTTTTTAAAAGACTAATGATAAGATATTAATCATGCTTGATTTAAGCACCTAGGTACACTTTGTTTTATAAAAAAATTATTGAATAAGTCATAGACAAACTGAAAAAAATAATTAATGCTGAAAAGAATGCCATCTTTTTTCCCAAATGTCCAAACAAACAAGTACGTGTATTCATACAGTTATTGATTAACATGCACACATTTGTTGCCACAACTGAGAACAGAATTTTACGATTCTCATTCCCAGTTGCAATGAAAACATTACGTGACACAACATTGTATCCTGGGGGAGAGGGGAGAGGCATCTGTAAACTCGTTGAATGCCAAACACCTTTGGGGCTAAGTTGACGCCAGGGTGTCTGCAAAACAGGAACGTTAATTAGAACTCTCTTTACTACCAACATTTTGGATTTTGGCAATGACGTATGAAAAGAAAGGTCAAAAATTTGTGTCAGAGCAGAGATGATGGTCGTATAGTTTGTATAGTAGTTGGAATACCAGTATTTTTTGTGTTGAGTTAATGTCATTGTTACTGCAGACTATTATTTCATGTTGATGAGTTTCTGTGTGTATTGTACATAATCACCACTTGTTTCTTGCGGATCTGCTCATAATAAAGTTCATATAAAACCCATAAAAGTCAACAAAATTTGTGGAGGTACCATGCACTAAGACCAGTTTATGGCATATGCCTTTGTGGTGTTTTTTTTTTTTTTTTTTTTAAGCCAACAATTGGTGACTGTCATTACGATCCTCTGCACTCGCGTTTATGCCTTTTATACCTTTTATACCGTTTATACTTTTGTTTTATGGAAGACAATGTATTTGGCAGAATGTATTACCAAAATATGAACATGGAGGCAAGAACAAAAGGGTTGATGTTGACAACTCTTTGTGTACACTGAAGTGTTTACGAAAACGCTTCATGCCAACAGGTAACTTGGTACCTTAGGTGCCTCTTGTCGCCTTTTATGGTTTTGACAGCCTAATTTCATGTTTAAGGGATAATAAGAAAAAAAGTTGAATGGCCAAAGAAAGTCATTTGTGTTTGTCAAGAGAGTATTGCATTCGAGAAATGAAAAGTACATTGTACTTACGGATATATATTATGTGTACGTCTCTGTCTCTTTGAGAGTGACAGCGAGTGCTTGTTAGTTTGTGTGAAAGACATGGTTGGCAGGAGACAGACTAGGACTCCGAGTCCTAGATATAGATTATTATATTAGAAAAAGCAAAATAACAATATATCCTAATTTCCCAATGAGTTGTAATTAATAAGCTCAAAACATTTTTGCATCTTTTTCTGAGGACGTCATACTGGTGTCGCCAGTGATTGACCTCTTGAGGTCATCTTTTTTATAACAACTACCTGCGCAGCGCCAACATTAACCCTGACAGGAGACAGCAGTGCCACTTGTACCGTCTTTTAAGGCCATGCACATAAATTATACATATGTGTTATAGATGTACTTTTTAAGGCTACAGACATCACATATATTATTTTAGCACAGATGTTGTAAATTATAGGGGAGGAGGTTATTGAAGGTTATTTTAGGTTATTGACTGACAAAAAATATTATTTATTTATTCATTTAGTCGTAGATGACTTATGTGCAAAATGTAAGTCTATCCATATTCTATCCATCTAATTGATTGTTGAGAGGGGTGAATGAGTACTAGTTATAACCCAAGACATCCACTGTTTGTGACATACAAGAGCGTAATTATATTGAGGAGCAGCCGAGATATAGTTTGCTCTTCTATGTCGCATACAGTGGGTGACGAGTAGTTGTAACAGACTTATACCACGGCTGGTGTTTCGAACTATAGGATGAACGCACCGAAGCTTGTTCAAAGCGCCAGCCATGGTATAAATACAACTATACACAAATATCGCAAGGGGTCCAACACTGAGTTGTGTGACTCTACTATGTGAAAAAGTCAGTTTCAACTAAGAGACCATTCCCAGGCCCTATCGACTAACTTTGGATCGATCGATCTCCTAGGAGATTCTCGCTAAATTGCAACCAACTTGAGACTTTTGTCACGCCTACTGAAACTGATGGGGAGTGATTAACTGTCATTGAGCAGCTTAAGTAGGCATGCCAGGCATCTAAGCCGCTTAAGCTAAAAGCTATTTAGCGAGAGACCCCTTGGAGATGGACCAATCCTGTTGGGAACCCAGTCTAAATTGTGTACTGCATACAAGGACTAAAGCAAAGCTTTTTTTGATTTTTGTTTTATCCTTCAAATAACTCGTTGTCAGGGATGCTGGTATTATTATTTTACTATATATCATTATGATGTGCTATATTGGCACTTGTGGTCCACACAGTGCCTAACTGATAAATTTTCAAGAACAATATCAAATTATTACCATCTTCTAAATTATATTTTGTCAGCAAGTCATTAAAGCTTTTGTTCAGAAGTTTTGAAAAATTAATAAGTGTAATACATTGTTTTTAACTGAAAATGATAAATCTCAAACAAATGACATATAAAAGTACAATATTTGAAAATATTGGAAGTAATTACTATATACATATTTATTTATTTATTTATTTATTTATTTATTTATTTATTTATTCCTATTGCCACTTCCCATTGTTTTCAAGTGTCCAACAGTCATTGTAAATAAGGTTATTAACAGTATTTGCCTGCTATTTGAGGACTGAGAGGTCGATTCCGAAGTTAGTAAGCTTTGTACATTTAACTAACCAAAATGATAAATCTTGGAAGAGTGACGTATATGAAAGTACAGTATTCAAAAATGGACTTAATGTCCAAAAGTCATTGTGAATAAGGTTATAAACAATATTTGCCCGCCATTCGAGGACTGAGAGGTCGAATCCTCTGAGGTTACAGCTTAGCATATTTGATGGATGTGGTTGTTTACTTCATAGCAAATTTTTATGTGTCTGGAGAGCTGAGAGGAAAGCTTGTTTATCTTCCAAGTGAGCTACGATGAATACTGAAGCAGGGAGAAAAATCAACAGAAATATTCCCCCAAGAGATGAGAAATTCTTCGGAGATGATGAATTGTAGGTGGAGCTAGGGTAATTGTACTTCAGTACGTCTTTAGTAACTTTGAAGATCATTTAGGGTTCCCAGGAGATTTTTTTCTTTTTATTATGAAGTGATCAAATTATTCATTTTAAGCCAAGATGTATTTTTTAGTTTGCAGAATGTTTTAATTTTATTCTTTTATTTTATTTTTTATGAATTTTTTTAATTTATTTTCTGTGTTGTTTGGTTGTTTATTGATATGAAATTTAAGTTGTTTATTTATTAATTAATTAATTTATTTGTTTCTTTGTATTGAATAAATATATTTGCTTTGGATGCACATACTGATCCAAACCTACAAAAAAACAAACTGAATATATTTTTCAAAAAGCTTAAAATTCTCAAGGTATCTTCACAACTTTCTGTAACTATTTCCTTAATTAACTTTTCCAAATCCCCAACTGAGTGGGCGGGAGACATCCCGAGGACGTCAAAGTCATGTTTTTGTTTCTCCAAATGTTTTTGCGGTCTTTTGCACGCTAAAAGTAGATCTGTAATTAAGGGTGGGATTTTGTTTTGGCTGAATTTCATAAATATTAATGACATTTTAAAGGAAAGCATACTTGTAGTAGACGGTGATGTTTTAATGAAGTGAAGTTAACACATGAAGTGTTTTGTGGTCAGTAACAAATAAATATATTTTTCAGCCCATATTAAGCATGATTAATGCTTAATCTTCTTTAAAATCTTTGAGGTTCTAAGGTAAATTTATAATACTTTTCACATTTTCTTTATGGGAGATTAACTTTTTGTAGGCGTTATGTATTCCATCATTTTTGCTTAATCTTCTTTCAAATAGTTGAGGTTAGAAGATAAAGTTATGATTTTTTCACGCTTCCTTTGTGGGTGTTTACCTTGTGAAGGTGTTATATTACTGCTTAATCTTCTTTCAAATAGTTGAGGTTTAAAAGTAAGATTGTGATATTTTCTGTGCATGGTTTCTTTAAGAGGTTGACCTTTTTTCAAATCATCTTAAGGTAAGGGATTGACCTTCTCTAGGTCATCTTAAAGTAATGGGGTGACACATAGTGGTCATTAGATAGATAGATATTTTATAGTTTCTGAATTGTGAGCAGAATTACAACATATGAAAAAAAGTATTTTCTTTGAAATGCTATCAGTAGGTGAAGCCGTTAATTTGGAATTGGAGAGATAAACATATTTGCACATGTTGCTAAGTATATTTGGTTTCCCAGGGAGCTGTTACAGATACGAAGTCCAGATTTACAGGAATTAAGTTCTCAGTAAGAAATAGGTCCATGTTGTATCAAATATGCTACTTATTTTAGCAGAACAAAATAATAATAATAATTTATACATAAACATTAAATATATTAAGAATAGGATTTATAAAACTTAATATTATCATGAAATAACTCACCTTTTTTTTTTTTTTTTTTTTTTTTTACATCAAGCAACTTTGAGATGTATTTTCAGGGCCCAAAGACCATGGAAGCTGTGAAAATCCATGTTGTGACTGAGCCCAATTTAGTGTCACAACCAGTTGTCACAACTAACACAATTGCTGTACTACTAACTTAATCTGCTTTTATTTATTTATATATTTCTTATACCACTAGCTTAGCAGTTTGGTTTTGGCCCTATATCACCCAGCCTTATCCAGCCTCATATTTATTTGTTTGTTTTTGATAAATATTTATGTTTGCTTTGCTCTTCTGTCTTTGCAGAGCATGTTTGGCAAGTGACGGTCAAGCCGCGTGGTCTGGGCAGTAGCAAGAACCTGGTGGGGACGTACAGGTTATGTCTGACCAGCTCCTCTCTCAGTCTGGTCAAGCTGAACCACGAGAAACCGGAGATAACATTTCAGGTGGGAAATAAAGAAAGGGATGTGCAACCTTTTCTTTTTAAATTTTACCTCACTGTGTCACTCATGTATCACAATTTTGGTTACTTCTTGTGGTACTATGGTAGAAAAAGTAAATCACTTTTAAAGAGAATGTTTTAAACAGTTGGGCCTGTTTCGACCCTTCATTCAAGAGCCTTGATTGCACGGTTGACTGGTCAAATTAAAAAAAAAAAAACACATGGTGTATTTTTCTATGGCTCTGTTCTCACAACTTTTAGATCGATCTATCACCGCGGGGAGTCTCACTAGATTACTGTCAGATAATCCCCCTTAAGTGTCCGTCCCCGCCTACTACAGGCTTTAAGGGGTAATTAACTTTCGTGTCCGCCCGGCTGACAGCTATTTAGCGTGAACCCCCAGGGAGTTAGGTCGATCCAATGTAGGTCGATCTAATCTATGAGAATGGGGTGTATGATCATGGTTGAATATTTCTGACACTGGATCCTCTGTCTGAGCATGCTTGGTCTCCTTTGTGGTCTATGTCCCTCTTTCTTTTTATTGTGCATATGTGAAAACACCATAATCAAAATCCAAACTTCAATTTTTCAGCTGGCAGCGATACGAAGATGCGGTCACTCGGACTGTTTCTTCTTCATGGAGGTGGGGAGGTCGTCAGCAACGGGGGCTGGAGAGCTCTGGATGCAGGTTGAGGATACTATCATTGCACAGAACATGCATGAAGCCATACTGAGGTGAGCGTAAAAGTTATACTGTGGAGCATCAAATCCGAAACTCGAGTTAATTTGTTTCCTTACTCCAGTTTCTGAACCAAAATGTTCACAAACCCAAGGCTTCTTTCTTTTTAGTTGAAAACATTGTAAATACAATTTATCTGTTCCCTGCTTTTGATTTTGCCATGTTTAGCAAAATGAACAATATAAGACAGTAGAATAAATATAATAATTGTTGGGAGCAAAAGAATTCTCACCCATTTCTTTAAGTGAGAACAAAATTTCATTTCATTTTTCATTTATATGTTACATATTTCATTGTGACGACAAAAGGAATAATAATAGAACAGTAGTAAAATATATAATTAAAGTTATAATAATAATTATATTTAATTCATATCTCACAGCTCCATGAAGTCAATGAGCAGCGGTCAAGAAGCCGGTCAGCAGATTCGTCCCAGGACGTCCAGCACCCTATCGGACAAGACGCGTCCGGCCAGTGCTGTCCACCGCAGTCGGGATGACCACGGCCCACACCGGTCACGCACAAGTAGCGAGGGACACAAGTAAGTGTATCCAATATACGTGGTACTGTATTATAGAAAACTGATTATAGAGACTGATTGGTTGAAAATGTTAAGACACGTCCTGAAAGCCACTGATTCTCAAGTAGCTTAGCGAATTAAGGCCAGCTTGAAAATAAGATATATGACATAAGAATTGAAAAGTTATTAAAAGTTTTGTCCTAAATAAATTCAGGGTAGTTGGAAAAAGTCAATAAATGTTAAGAGTATTGAAAGATGACTTAAAATGTTCATTCTGTTTTAACACTGAAAGACAAGTCGGGCATATAATGACACATAATGGCAGAATATAGGCTGGCAACAGATAACACAGTTAGTTATATTTATCATTAGGTCATTTATTTTATTAAATTTTTTTCATCGTGAACCAGGAGATCCCGCCATTCTCCAACTGTGATGAGAAAAGATCGTAACCTCCTTACCACTCATGCGGGCAGCCACTCCAGTGTTTCCTCTGGACACTCGCCCATGACAGGAAGTCCGCTCAGGTAGGGATAGAGGGTTGTCATGTCATGTCATCACGCCATATTTTTCATGGTATATGTAATAATAGAAATAATATTAATAGCAATAATTATTATGATATATTTATTTATTTATTTAGTCAAAAATCCATTGAAAATGTTCAGTAGACTTTACATAAGAAATAGTACTATGTCACATGGGCAGTCACTTCATTGTTTCTTCTGGACATTTTTCCATGACTAAAAATCCTCTAAGGTAAAAATTGACCACTGTCATGTCATGCCCCATGATATTTTTTTCTTTCACATGTCATATCACTTCATGCTACATTATTTTATTTCAGTGCAACCATACTGAACGAGAGCCTGAACCCCAGCGGGTTTAGAGGGCGCTCTGATAGCACGGACTCTCGCGGCACAAGTAGCAGTATCTCTGACGAGTGTGATGGTCACTCGGGCATGCGGTCCACAACCCCTGACCAGTCTCAGACCGACTCTCAGTCCGATTACCTGTCCATGACGCCCAACACTATGATGGGTGAGTGACGCGTTGTGTTAAATTAAACAGTAAATAAGAACAAGTGATAATAATTATAATATTATGTTATGTGAGTGAATCCTGGAAGAATGGAAGTGGAACTCAAATAAACTGTAATGCCGAGTTTCCCTCTTAGAGTCAGAAGTTGGAGGTTTTCCATTTAATTCCCAGCCTAGTCTATTCAATAAATGAAAATTATACCTACCGTTTCTCATTGGATATTGACCACTTGAGAAGTCAATATGGTCTGATATTGACCTGCATGTGACCGCTCTTGACCAAATTTTGTGATCAGGTAACAATTATTATTATTATTATTATTACTTTGTACTCTATCTCTCCAGGCGCCAGTCCTGTGGGTAGTTTAGACAGTAACAAAAATCTAGAATACATGGAGATGGATCTGACGTCCAAGTTCTCCTCTCCTCATACCCCTCATCACCATCACCATCACCACCATCATCACCATCCACCGGAGGGGCTCACCTTACACGATATCAATGCTTCTTCATCTAAAGGTAAGGTTTGAACCTCAGTCGAGGCTTTCTCCAGAGAGCTGTTCAGTTGTCGTTTGGACAGCCACTGGCTTCAAAAGACTGCCGAGATTTTTTCAGGACAGCTAAGTGGTAAATGAAGTTTTTTGGGGAATGATGGTATATTTGTAGTTGTACTCTCTGTTTATCTGTGACCAAATTACTGATCAACTCTTTGGACCCCTTGTACCCCAGATCCTTGGGAAAACCATTGATCTTAAGTGAATTTTTTGTGAGAGATTTTTTTTTCTGAAGTTAAGTTTGATACATAAGATGTTTTACTGGTATGTTACAGATGAACTGATTTTATGGACTGCTTTAAAATAAAAGTGTGAGGGTGCCTGTGTATTGAAATGACGTTATGTGTAGATTTTTTTCTGCTTTTATAACCACACACACACACACACACACACACACACACACACACACACACACACATATAGATGATAGTTCTGAACAAATAAAAAAATAATCCATCTGCCCTGACTTGACCAGCTGAGGTCAACATCTAGTCAACAGCTAGCTGCCATTAACTAACTTAAAGTGCAAATGGATTTTGAAAGTCCATTAGTGCATTTGGCTCATTTAGAACAACTTAAGTTATCTGCTTTAATTCAGTCAAGGAAGTAGACAGGACAGATTTACTTCAAGGCAGGAAATTGGGGAAAAGTTCTGCAGTTGAAGCTTAACGATTTCAAAATTATCAGAACTTCTTATCTTGTCATGCCATCAGATAATTTGCACTTCATCGACACCATAAAAAGTTAAATCTCTAAATGGAAACTAGCAAAGGTCAGGCAATTATATCTTCATGATTTATAGCATATAAGTGAAATTATCGGTATCTCCACAGAGGTTATCATGTCACAGAAACATTGCCTTTCTAGTTTGGCATAGAACAAGGTCATCGTTAAAAATGTTGTATTTTTAGAATAAAAAGCCATATAGTATAATGGTATTTTAACAAGTTCCAAAAAAAGTATTTTTGATAATAATAATAATAATAATAATAATAATAATAATAATTTTCTTTAAATATTTCAGGTGCACCTTCAGAATCATCCTATATGTCAATGACACCTACGAGCAGTTTGTCATCATCACCGCGGTTTGGGACACCTAGTATATTATCTGATGACAGTAGTTATCTGGATATGGCACCTCTGGGGCAGGGGTTACCCCCTCTACAGGAGAAAGCAAGTTAGTATTATGTTATTGTATCGCATTTTCTATGAATAGGCTGTCACTCCAAACACACTGCATATCTAGTATACTACCACATGTAACACAGTGTCACACCTAGGTCATAGATATTGGCTTTTTGTTTTTAATTATACTAATGTTTGTTTATAAAAATTACATTTTTGGAATCACAGAAAAATTATTTGAGAGAAAAAAATGTCCTTCATTATTTCCTAAAACATGGACATTCTTAATATGATACAAAATAGATTAAACACACTGAAAAAGATTTTTTTAAAAACAATACCAAGTGTTGTGTAACTAAAATGGAAAAAAATAAGTCCTAATTAATATTTCATATGGACAAAGATAAGAAGTAATTTGGTATATCTCTGTTTTCCAGCGCCGGATGGTTACATGGACATGGCGCCAACACATACCTCTGGGTCGCGCTCCGTTCTACGCCCAGCAAAAAGTTTTCTCCACGAAGCTCCAGAATTTCCACAGCGAGCTTACTCAGTGGGGAGTCGGCCTGGGAAAAGTCTGAGCACACAAATACAGCAGCCATACATGGAAATGGTGGCCAGTCAGGGCGCGTTGAACAATAGCAAAAGCAGCAGTGCCCCCCACCTGGAGAACGAGAACATAAATGCTAATGTTAAATCGACAAAAGGGCACACTCGATATGCCAGTCCTTCTCCATCTGGAGCAAGAGAAGGAGGCGGAGGGATGCAGCCCATGAAGGCTTTCCCTCCGCAACAGACTGATTTATTTATGGAGATGGATTTCGCCAGACCTAGAACGGCCAGTGATAGTTTTAATTATCAGCACTGTAGGCCGCGGACGTCCAGCTGGAGTAAAGCTATGCGTCCACGTTCGGCCAGTCACAGCCAAGGGAGTAAAATAAATGGCCGTAAGCTGTTATCTAGAGATGCTGCTCCATCCCAAGAACTCATTAAGCAAATTTCCCAAGATTCTTTGCGACGCTCTTACGACTCCATTAGCAAATTGGGCTCCACGCCAGAACAACATGAGGCGTACATGGAAATGAGCCCGCAATCCTCATCAAAAAGGTCGCCGGCTACAAAGCCTGTGTCCATGCGTGTAACGCCGGTTATTAAGACAACTCTTATAGCTCCGGATTACATGATGATGAACCCTGTTATAAAAGAATCCAAGACAGAACCGGATGAGAGCGAAAGTGACAATAACGATAGTGTCTCAGACTCAAAATTAAACGGAAGCCGATCCTCATCATCTTCTTCCTCCATCACAGAACAAAGGCGACAAAGTTCCCCAGACGTGATCAGGCAATCGGCCAATCAGAGTCCAGGAGCATCTAAAGTGCAGGCTCCTTTTGACCCTGTGACTTACGTCAATTTGGATTATTCCAAGAAACCAGTGAAAGAACCCGCGGTGCCCCCTGGCGATGATTCATATTTAATGCTTTCGCCAGGAACGGAGGACACGTCACAGGCAGCGATAGACAGTGGGAGTCTATCGCCACAGAGGGTGGTCAGCCATATCAGAGTCTCCTCTTCACCAGCTTCAACCACAGCGATGCAGGAGGCGGCTGGAAATCATGGCAGTGCTGCAGCGTCAACGTCCGTTGTGAAGAAACCTCCTTTGCCAGATACCCCAAAGATTCTCAGTAGCCCTGGAGAGAGTGGGACAGTGAAAGCACCCAAGCCGACCACACCCGCACCCTTCCCAACCTCTCCCCCTGTTCCGACCTCCCCAGCTCCCTCTCACCCCCTTTCCACACCCCCTCCTTTCCCCATGTCACCCCCTTTCTCAGTACCATCCCCTGCCAGGATTTCCCCAACTACCCCACCCCAGCCCACCACCCCAACTGCCCCTGTACTTGCCAAGCCCACCCCACCCCTTCCCATCAGCCCCTCCTCCAAGGGAGAGTCTTCGCCTCAGTCGCCATCAGCCCAAACACAAGATTATGCAAACATCGATGTCGGTGTGACGCGGGTTGTGAAGCCAGTACCCACTTTTGGCAGTGTGCAGTCAGTAACCAGTGATGGTAGCACATCGCAAGTTGAAAAACCAGCCCTGCCGAGTAAAAATAAAGTGGGCAGATCAAAGCAGCAGCGAGCGGAGAAAAGCAAATCCATGGGGGATTGTCAGGAAAGGCCAGAAAGCGTAAATGTGAACACAGCAAATTCCAAGAAGTGTCCGCCTCCGCCAGTATCAGCGTCTGCTTCCAAAGTTTCCAGTAAACCGCCATCTTTACCTCCGCTGCCGCCATTGGGCCAGAGACACAGCATGTCAGACTTTGGTGCTAATAACAACGGGATGGGCGAATCTGGCCCAGGGAAAGTTCCGCCATCAGCACAAGACGAACCTCAGTTGAACTATGCCTCATTAGACTTAGGATCCTCTGAAGATATCGAATTGACGCAAGCTCCGAAATCACCACGGATTATCACTTCTCGTCACAACAGTGGGGAAGACGGCGAGAAAAAGCCCACCTATGCTGAGATTGACTTTGAGAAATCGGAAAGTTTTAAGCAGGCTCGTCAACAGAGTGGGCGTAAGCCGCCGTTTGACTTATGATGTGTGGGAGTTGAAACATGATGAAATATTTGATGTATACTTTTCTTCTCTAAAAAAATGCAATGGTGTATGATTTCTTTAATTGAAGCTGTAAATTTGTAAATGAGCGAGGAATGTGTTTGATGTTCAGTATGTTTGTAACTTTATACTGGTATTGGTACAATTTATCACCTTTGTGACTGTGCTGCCATCTGTTAGAACTGAAGAAAAACTAGGCACAGGTTATGTACACTTTCAGACTTTCATTTTCAACCGTGCTGCCATCTACAATGTATTAGAATTCTTTGCCAATTGGCCAATCAAATATAAGGTACCCTCTGTAGCCCATCTGCTAAATGTTAGCCAATGTTTTAACTTATGCTGATACATGTATCCCATTACAAAACCAGATGCTGTATTGCATACAATGCACTAAATCTTAAAGTCACGATGAAGTCAAGAATGTGTAAAAGACTTTACACATAAGGGACAAAAATGTCCCATGGGAGTTCTGCTGTTGTAAATTATGTAATAGATTCATTGGAAAAAATTTAATTCTTTTAGTGTGTCTTTTTCAGCTAATTTCAGGTGTAACTTTATAAATAAGTTGCCAAAACGGGTTTACTGATTTAAGGGTTCTCATTGTTGAGATGTAATTAGCAAAATGAAGGCCTTTTTTGAATTTCTGTTTTCGTTTTCTTAGTTTTTAAGAACTAAGGAGTGTCAGTATTTTCTGAGGTTTGGTCTGTGATTTCCAAATATATGAAAATGCAGAGTAACTTTTTTTTTTTCGTTACAAAAGGGCCTTCTTGATTTGAGTATTAACTCCCTCAACTTGATTGGCCAAATGGAGTTGTGCCAGTAGATAAACCCTGTGCCATTGCTTTTGATTGGATGATCTATTATCATATGATTATCATGTGACTACCATGTTGTTACCATGTGATTAAAACAACACTGCTTTCTTGGCTGCTGTATACTATGGGTCAATGTTTCTTTTCGTGCTGTGCATGTACCTTAAAATTCCATGGATTTAATGTACATCATTTAAAAGCAGGTATCGCACTGTTGATTGGTGTGACAACGTAGTTCTTGACTCTTCAGTTCTTTCAAAACTACCTTTTTTTCTCAGAGCTTTCATTGATTACCTATTACATGATCACTCAGAGAAATGATGTTGTTATGCCGTAATTGATGTACATTTTATGGCGGGAAATGACAAAGTGCTGCCCCCTGTTTGTAGATGATGAAGTTATATATGGCCTCGTTCAGAACAGGGGCCTAACAGATCCAAATATGGCCAGCCCACTTAAATGCTGGTTGCGTAATCCCCACAGGAAATCTATTCAATGTCTAATCCTGAATTGAGCGGCAAGCTTTTAATAGGTCGTCATATTTGATCTGCGGATCCGTTAATCCAGGGTTTTGAATGCGCTCTATGATCTTTAGCTGGTAGCCTACTCCAGTTGGTACCATTGGAGCATTGTTGGTTGGTTTGTCATACAAACTGGTATATACCTCATGCCTCTGAAACACACAATAAGGTTCTGATGGTGTTTGAGGTTTGGTGTATGATCTTTGTTGATGTATCTTTTTTTTTTTTCTTTTATTATAAAGACACCTTTTCCCAATTGTTTGTTGTTATGTGCTCGATTTATATCTGTTATGTTTCATTTTTGAATGGGAATTTCTGTTAGTGTTTTCACCAAGAAAAAAAAGCAACTCTTTTTTTTTAAATAAGTAAATTAATTTCTGTAAATATAAGGGCAACATGTTAGGATTAAGTTTATACAGTTGCAGGAAGCATTAATTAAGTGATGGGTAGTATCACCTTTAAATTATTTATTACATGTACCCATCAAATTTCCCAAGGAAGGAAAATTGGAAATATGTGTACATATACTGAGTCATAACATTTCAGTGTGAAATGGTTGAATATAGAAGTGTTGCCCCTTTCTTAAAAGTTGGTGTTATTTATTGTTAAGGTGAAACAAATCCTGTATCTTTTACGTCAGGGCTGATGAGGTGATACATACCCATGAAGACGGGATTCATACCATTTTCTGAGTTTGAGAATAGTTTCATCGGAATGAGTAACTAATGTTTTTAGAATAGCGTTTCATTATTTACCATCCGGAATTTTTAGAAGGACATTTTCAGATGGTAAAAATGAACCATCATTATAAAAGCATGTTTTTGTAAGTTCATGAAGATCTTTATGAGAAACTAACTGGTATTTGACAATACAGTTTTGATATGGAAGCTCTCCTTGAAAGCCATTTAAATATTTTTTGTGTTATTAAAGTGTTAGATTTTTTTTCTGTTCTTGTTAAAGAGAAAGTAGTGAAAAAAACATTTCTCCTTTTTTGGGGAGATAATGGTTAGATGGTAGATAGCTGTAATATACGAGCTGTTAGTGTTATTATGATTGATAATATAATTGTTAATTAATTAATTAATTAACGAGCAGTGTATGTAAGTTGGTGGCATACTTTCAAGGTTGGTAAACCTCTTATTAATTATGAACTAATTTATAAATGGAACATATTAGCAGTGCAAAAATAAAAAATAATGAAATAATTATGATGTCTTTTCAATTCTCTATTTATTTTAAAATACATAAAAACCATTATAAAATAAACCACTATTAACAAAATGACAGTCTCATCTCTGCAAGGTACAATAACAGGCCTACCCAACTACCAGACTCGGCACCTAAGGATCCTGAATTAACCGGTATATCGGACCACGCTACCCGTTTTCAAGGTGTGTGTCAGATCGCATTTCGGAGTATCATACCCCAGAACAAATTTTGTAGCACGACTGCGGGCTCATCCACGCTCGGCTGAACGACCTTAAACTGTACTCTTACTTTAGAGTACTCTATTTTATTGTCTCTATGGGGATATATGGGGACTTTACGACATTCGGTTTGAATGTTTTAACCACTTTTGATAGGGCTTTTTTGCATTGTATTAGATTAATGTGGCAGTCTAAGGTTCATCTAGGTGGCTTTCAAATTTATGCACCCGGTTTTAAAATCATATAGCAATTTTTCGACAATCGTTTACTATCCAATCAAGGTGACAGCCGAGCATGCCAGGGCTCATCCTGTCTGTGTTCTGGCTGATACTCCGAAATGCGATCTGACACACACCTTGAAAACGGGTAGTGTGGTCCGATATACCGGTTAATTCAGGATCCTTAGGTGCCGAGTCTGGTAGTTGGGTAGGCCTGAATAATTCTTAATTTCCCTGATAGCAAAATGTTGACCAACCATGTTGCTAAAACATTTCTTTCAAATATTTCAAAATTCAACTTCTTGCAATGGCAAAACCTCGGCGTCCATCCAGTTACAATTGTATTTCAATTATGTCACTTCTGTATCAGTGCAAGGCCCAGAGTGTGTAGAATTTTTTCAAATTTCAGAATCTTAAAAACCATATTTATCAAATATTTTAAGTTCCTTTGGCACATTAAGAAAAAAAAAACAGTTTTCGTGTGAAATATGAAATAGTGGTCATCCCACTCTCTTATGACCAAACAAGCGCATTTGTACTCATTTATATGGTTGGAATCGATTCTCGGTTAAAAAAGTACAAGAAAGTTTTCTGATGCGTTTTCATTGACAGTATATTTCCTCTCTCTTTTGTCTTTTTTTTATTTTATTTATTTATTTATTTTTATTTATTTTTTTTTTTTTTGAAAATTCAAAAGTGTTTACCACAAGCTTGAATGTGCATGCTAAGATGAAGTTGTGACAGAGGAAATGAAAACATTGAATCTTTTAGGCTGTAACTGTAATATTTTTTTTTAAATATATATGAAGACCATAAAAGTCATCCATTCGTATTTCAGCAGGCCCTACGGCGATAACATATTTTCTCAAAAGAAAGAAAGTTTTTCAATCTAATAGAGGGGCCGTATTCTCAATACTTAGTAACTTACAATGATTAGGCAGTTGTAAATTTACGTGCACGTGAATATTTACAACAGATTACAAAATTTCCAGATAACCAACTTTCGTGAACAATCGGACTTGCGTGACAATAATTTACAAGATTCCACAAGTTACAGCCTTTTAGTGTAGTTCACGACGTTGTGTCTCCATCGGCGAATAAAAAATTCTAATGGGGGGGGGGGGGGGGGTCGGCCATATTTGATCCGCGGGTCTGTTAGTCCTCTGTTCAGAATGCGTTCTTAGTCCGCGGATTTACTTCTGTTTTGAATTCGGCCTAATTCCAGTATTACATTTAAAAAAACTTCCTGTTTCCTTGACACGTTTTTAAAGCCCCCAACTCCGGGATATAAAAGTCAAATGGCGCAAAGGGGAGTCACGATATGATTGTGATGGAAATCCACAAGTTTTGATCTGTTTGTTACTGATTGATTAATTGATTGATTTCTTGTGGCAGTTGGGATATCCTCCTCTATACGTTTTTTTTTTCCTAGATCCAGTGGGAAAAACAGTAAATGCTTTAGAGAAGATAACATGGGATCGTTAATGTGCTGCTATCGATTGGGATGCATGCACACAACACTCTCCGAAGTTTATTCTTATTTTCATTAAACAAAGTTTCAGCCACGATTTTAAAAATAGAAATAGCATTTACGTGTAGTAGATCAAACAGACGACAAATTGTTTAACTCTGGTAACAACACTTCCTTCAAACGCGCCATTCCTTTAAGCACTTGATGATGGTGGGTATAACGGGCCCGGTCCACTTCTTTAAGTCAACTTTATCCTTAATTAAGTCATATTACGTCGCGGGACAATACACCAATCACCTGAGCATCAAGTATGTGATTTTCGCCATCATAAGTCACTAATTGCTTCTGGGGTTTGTTTGTTGTCGGGATATTAAAGCCCCCATCCACTCGACCCAGTTTTGGAATGTCCTTTCTGTTTGTCCTGTTCTCTTCAACCAGCTGTGAAGCATGAGCGTGATAAAGTCCAAATTGTGCCATTTTTTTACAAACATTATCTCACAGATTGTGGGGTAGCAAGGTCACAGAGCGAGTTCGAGTTCCTTCACTATCGGAAAATCCCAAGGACGATGCCAAGATCTTTTGACACAGGGTAAATATGCTGCAACAGAAGTCAGGAGAACGAATGAGGCTCTTGTGGAACAACAGCAACAATAATAATAATAATAATAATAATAATAATAATAATAATAATAAATTCCGATTATTATAAATAAATCAAAAAGCAAATTATAAAACTTGATTAATTTCAAAAGTGAAAAAGACTGACAACAAACTCAATCAAGGATTAAAGCCATTACAAGTATTGTGCAAATCACATGTAGCTAAAAGGGAGTCTTTTATATAGTGCTCGAATCATTTATTTGATCAACACGAACATGAAAATGATAAATTACTGATTAAATGATAAAACATTTACATCAGAAGAAAAAACAAAACTGCAAATCGGAAAATGTGTTCGTCTCTCCAACCTACATGTAGTACTTATCCTAGGAACTTATCATCATATAATAATAATAATAATAATAATAATAATAATAATAATAATAATAATAATAATAAATTTGTGATGTTAGATGAATGAACAAAGACATGAACACTTTTTAGGTCAGGGTCAGATATTTAGATAAAGAGGTAGAGCATTTTTGACCAAAGAGGGCGTATATCGTCCATACTTAACAGATAGCAAAGGAGATATTTAGTTAATGACGAACCAAACAATTGCGAAGTTGATCAAAATCCAGATAATAATTCAATAATAATTATCAATTTTGATAACTGTGATTCAGCTTATCAGTTTTGATAAACTATGATTCAGCAAGTCAAAATTCTAATTTCAAGGGGGGACCATTGGTGTGATTTTTCTCAGAAATCGAATGGGGGGGGGGGGGGGTCAGACACCCTTAACCCCCTTAAACCGCCATTGGGGAGTCAATAGGTTGAAGAAATATCTCAGACAAAGTGGCCCCCATCCCCGTTGTATGAATTCATTAAGAATCTTCCGTGTCACATGACCCACTTTAAGAGGTCAAGGTCGATTTTTTAGAAGATGCCTTTTTAAACAAAGCACTGTCCTTTATGATGTGAATATAATGTAAAATACCTGCTAGGTTAATATTTTACAACAATCACGTTTGACACACGTTATCAAAATACTTCACTTTATGATGTCGGGGTTGGTTTCTTGGAAGAAGCATTTTTAACAAAACACTCTATTGAATAATAAATACCATTACACCAAGGAGTTATAAATGTTTATAACTCCTTGATTACACTTACTGTAAACTGGTGACTGGTGTCAACATGAAATTGAGAATATGCTCGCATGGGATAAAAATCATTACCACGATATTTA